ATGGCCACACATACACGTACACATGTACATTCCGCTTTCTAGTAATGCTATTGAATGAGTATAAAAATGCTTACGATGTTAGCTAAAATGTATTAAGTGCTTATTATTTGCCATTGACTGTTTAAAGTGCTTTTCTTCATTTAAGTAGTTTAATTCTCTGAACATTTTCTGATAGATACTATCATAATGCCCATTATAGATGAGGAAACTGAGGCACAAATAGATTAACTTGCCTAAGATCATACTTATTTGGTGAAGCCAAGATAAAAGTAGATAGTATAGTTGAACATTGCTTATCTTTGATATAAAAATAAGGATTTAGACATTTATTGCAGCATAATTAGATTACAGTAACTTATATTTGTCCTATTAATATTATTGCTGTCAATGTTTCCAGTTGAAATTTTGCCTCTGCAATGGAAAAATAATAGCTAAAGCTTATACCATTGCCAGTCATAGTTTTAACACATTGACTGCCACACTAGAAAAAAAAAATTTTCCCTGGGGCCATGGTCTTTTATTAAAATGATCCTTTCTAATTTGTTATTTCCTATGTGTGAGTTATATGCAACACAATCCACCGTTTTAGAATTAAATTCTCAGTATTAATTGTAACCATAAGAACATCAACAAGTAAGGTTTTCATGAGCCAGCTGGCAGGGTTTTGCTTCATGAGGCCCCGGGCTCAAAACTAGCCTGAGTGGGCCGGGCGCGGTGGCTCACGCCTGTAATCCTAGCTCTCTGGGAGGCCGAGGCGGGCGGATTGTTTGAGCTCAGCTGTCCAGCTAATTTCTTTCTATATTTAGTAGAGATGGGGTCTCGCTCTTGCTCAGGCTGGTCTCGAACTCCTGACCTTGAGCAATCCACCTGCCTGGGTATTCCAGAGTGCTAGGATTACAGGCGTGAGCCACCGTGCCCGGTCTTAATGATCTTTTTATTAATAAATGCACCCCACAGTATAAGGTGTTAATATGTCTATAGCTTACTAGCAAAAGATTTAAGGAAAAAATATGTATTTGCATATGGCAAGTATGAGAAAGCAAATGTGGCAAAATGTTAAACATTATTTTTGCAATTTTCTATAAGATTGAAATTAATTTAAAATTAGCAGTTAGAAAAACTCTCCTCAGAGTGTATTGGTGTGTTGCCAAGGGCAGCCCCTGGGGAGCCACAGCAACGCTGGTGGTTGCGGCTTCAGTGGTGGGACTCACCTGTCTTCTCACTCCTGCTCCTTCCTTTGTGCCTTCAATAAATACTTACTCAGGAACTTGGGAGGGCCAGGAACTATCCCTTCCCGCTCCCATTTCGAGTTCCTTCAGGAAGCTGAGAGAACAGGGAAGCCCTAACCTTCGTTTGTTATGTACAGGTCCCCAGACCAAGAGCATGGGAGAAAGGACAAACCCGTGCAAACCCAGAGCATGAGCCCAGGGGCAGCATTTCATCTACCACCCACATCCTTCCTCTCTTAAGAGTCAATGATTATCGTCTATAATATACCCTCCCAAGTGGCTCCCAGCAACCCACCTCAAACAGGAACTAGACAAACTGGGTGATTTCTTGTCCCCTAACTAGCAAATATAGCAGATTTTCATGAGGTGGGAACCCAGTTTCCATGGAAACAGGAGGCAGGCAAGTGGCCTCTGCTGAGCCCTTCACTCTACATGAGCAAGCTCTGCTTTCCAGCACCTCACTTTTGGGTCCCCGACAACATAAGCCATTTCATAGTTATAGGGTCTCCTTCTCGCTCTCTTACTTCGATTATTACATATTTCATTTTCCTTGTCACATTTTCCCCATTTTAATAATTTATCTATCTCATTCCTATTACATAACCCTAACTCTGACTCTTCCCTCCTCCAATAAAATAAAATATACTTCTGATCGCTTCTTCCCACACGTTTGGATGGAGACAAATGCTGCCACAATAATAACACGGGGTGTATGCTGGAGTGCCATAGGCTGGGCGAGGCGGGAGGTGTTAAATAGGGGGGCAGAAAAGCCAGGAACCAGAAAAACTGAGACGACCTCTCAGAAGATTAGTTGTAGTGTGTTGTGTCTCCTCTCCCGGCGCTGGGACCCCTTGGGGAGTGTGATGTGTGTCTCCAGAGGCTTGGGGTGCACACCAGGGGTGCATGTCTGATTGCTGTTAGAGGAAACCAAAGGAGAGGCTGGCTGAGTCCTGCTCTGCAGGTGAGGGGGGAGTAATGAGAGGTGGGTTCCTTGGAAGAGCACTAGGGAGGAGCTGGAGGTCATGGGGTCCAGACTGACCCCTCTTGCAGCTCAGATAGCAGCCCATGGGGAGCCGAAGCTGCAGGAGGGAAGGGAGCAGCCAGTGCCCCTCAGAGGTCCGGCACTGCCAAGCACCCAAGGAAGACTCAACTGTGAGAAGAAATGTCCCTATGACACTATTATTTAAGTACTATAAAAGATGTCGGATTTGCCAGAAATTTTATCCAGTGGCCAGGAGAATGACCCCTCAGGTAGAAATTAACACAATAGGGGAAGGTGATAAAGCCTTTGTCCGAGGCCGTCTCATTATCTAGCTTGTTTAATGAGTAGTTTAACAGCCCAAGGGCTAAGCCCACAGTGAGGATGGGCTGGAAAGTCTGCTGTTCCACTGTTCCAGGGTCACAGCTTAGCACCTGAGAAATGTCCACAGGTAAAGGAGCAAAGCAATTCCTGGGACAGCAGGGCCTGTCTTCAGATCCACAGGGACAGCTGAGCATCGTCTGATGCCTCACAGGGAACTGCTTTTGTTCTTTTACATGAGATACTATGGTCAGGTCCATTCTGGGGAATTGTGAACATGTGAACAGCACCCCCATTTGTAAAAGACGTCTGTTTACACTGGGTTTGTGTGCGGGCGTCACACAACCACAAGCACAGGCCATTGTGACACCTCTGGGGCAGGTCCTCAGGGGAAGGTCTGGTCTGGCACCCGGGGAGGCTCTGGTGGGAAGCATCACCAGATGTGACCACAACCTTGAACTTCACCAGATCAGCCTTCATCCTCCCTGAGGATTTGCATAAACATCCCTACCACAGTCTCAGCCCTGTGACCAGGCCTGATAAACGAGGCCTTTTATAAGTGTCTGAGCACCCTCAGGAGGGTGAGAGGCAGCAGGATGGTGCCATCCCAGCTTCTTTGGCTCCTGCTCCTCTGTGTTGCAGGTAAGAAACTGTCCCAAGTGGACAGCACCCTCAACTCCATTTCTGGAGCTCCCTGAGAAGAGTGATGTTGGGAGGCAACAGGGAATAAATACCACTAACAGCTCAGGCCTGGTTAGGGTTTGGCTTCCTCCTTGTGGGCACATTCTGGCTTTAATAGGATCTCACAGCATCTCTGAATCAGCCCCGTGTGCCTCCGGTTGCAGGTTCCAGTGGGCAGATCGTGCTCACCCAGGCTGCAGAGTCCCTGCCTGCCTCCCCAGGAGAGAGAGTCTCCATCAGCTGCAAGGCCAGTGAGAGCCTCCTCTACACAGATGGGCAGGAGTACCTATCCTGGTACCCAGCACAGACCTGGGCAGAGCCCCAAGGTTCTCATTTACTATGCCTTCACCCGGGTAGATGGGTTGTCCACCCG